AAAAAAAAACACACCCCGCCCCCCCCCCCCCCCAATAAGCTGTCTACCAATTAAATTTTCATAGTATCTTTTTTTCTTTTTTCTAATCATAGCTGACTGACTACAGCATTTCGCAAATTCTCCTTTGTACTCATGATACAAGCCTGGGATTCACAATGCAGGGTGTTCAAAAAAAAAAAAATCAAAGTCAAACAAACAAATAAAATCATATTTTCAGCATGAAAGAGATTGATATTACCATCTAAAGCTAAAATTTAGTCAGTGTAAGACTACGACCACAACACCCAGTGTTTTCAAGGCCAAGTTCTATACTGTGTGTCAACTGTCAGAGAGGAAAGTGGTGCTGGAGCTTGATGTGCCAACTGTCAAATCAAATAGATGAAAACAACCCCTCAGTTTATTTTTTAAATAAATTTCATACATGGATAACTAGCAAGAAATGCATGTTCATACATTAACTATAAGCTGTTGAACAATCCTCACTTACTTTAAGTAATGTGAGTCAAAACTGATGTCTTCTTATGAAGGACAAGACCTACTAGGTCTTTCTTCAAGGTAGTTTTTTTAAGTAAGGGCATCAGTTCTGAAAAACTCCTTCCTGTTATGGGAGGATTTTATAGTTACAACTGCAATTAAAAAAATGAAAACAAAATCCCCAAACTCCACGCTTTTTCCCCATAAAATTTGTGACTACATGGCATTCTCCTAGCAGACTTCCATAGGTCTTTGCGTTCCACAGAAGTTTTTGTCAAAGCTAAATTTTTAGTGGTGGTAGCTCAAGGCAAGGTTTCCATGATGAAATTTTCAGTGAACTCTGCCTAATGATAACAGTATATTAACTATGAATCATATATCTGCGGTCTAAATTCAACTTAGAAACAGTTTCACCACTTCTTTTTGAAAAACAGTAGACATTTATCTTGGACTGGTTTCTTAATGTGTAGAAATTGATTTTTTGGTTTTACCAAGTCAAATATCACACTAATTTAAAATATTTGAAAAATATGAAGGAGCTATCTGTTTACCAATTCTAACTTTATAATGAACACTGAAAATGCAGTCAATATGTCCATGGCTTAACAATCACAAGTTTTACAGATGAGTCTGAAAGCTAGCAGGCTCTTCTTAGTTCTCTCTGAGAAGATACTGATTTATAAAAGACCTCTAACAAACTACTGCAGCCTTAACAGAAGCTTAGTTTACCATTTAATACCTGTAACAATAAGATACTTAAGATAGGATTTACAATATAGGTAACAGAATGTAACTTGGAATTAGAAAGTGACTTTAACCCCTTACGATGACATCTTTAAAAGTATTTGGATACAAAAATTCCAAGCTCACTTTCAGAGGTCAACACATTAACTCTCAGAGAAGTCATCCACTGTTGATAAACCTTGTACTATTCACCCTTAAGACTCACTGGAGTTTCAGTTACATTTTAAGTATGAAAAACATCTTCTTGTCTTTTCAATAAACTGTTCCATTCAAAGTTTGACAGGCAAGATACATGCGAAGTGAAAAGAAAAGTCAGGCAGCATTGTTCAACATCATTTTAATCTCCACCGAGGGTAAAATAATATAAACATGTTAACACAAACAGAAAGTTTTAGAAAAGACCATATGGTACTATGACAGGGTTTTAGTTTATAGAAATGTAATTTATAGTTTTATAAAAATTACATGAAAGAACAACAACATCTTTCAGTAACATCAGACAGTATAGAAAAAATAAATCTCAACATTAGTTGTACTCTGATGGTCCTTCTAGTAAGAAATTTAAAAGTGCTTTTCAATAACAGTGTTGCAACTCAAGATTAGTGCAATATGTCAAATCTGTTTTAAAGCAGATATTTATAGCAATTGTGCAAGTTCGTACAATTAACAAACCCCATCAATCTAAAAATTAACACTAAGTGAGGTAAGTATTCTAATTAGAATTAAACATTCCTTAAATAGCTTACATACCAATTCTACTACAAGGAAAATCCTGGTGTTCCTTCATAGGAAGGCTCAAACCTAAACATGATGTGAAACTTTTACTACAAATCAGTGAATACTTGGAATTTAAAAAAGCTCTTGCAAAATATACAGTTTAGTACGTTTACAACCCAATGCTACAAACAGTACCTAATGCAAAATATACCAACTTAAATAAAACCAAACTTTACAGTTAGTGTACTGAATTTGCTTTTGCATACACTATTTTGTTCCCAAATCCTCCTAGAAGCTCCCACATAAAGTTAGCACATTAACTTAATGCAGAACTTTCACTGTATTTTTATCTGTAAATATGAACAATTTGGTTACCAACTATGACTGCAACTATGAGTACCATTACTCTTCGAGCAAGTGAAAAACACAGCACTAGTTGGGAAAAAAAAGAAATCAAAATTTACCCTTCACTTTTATACATTACAAGTTAGCAATAATAAAAGATACTCTACATTTCTACATAATATTTTCTGCAAGAATTCTCAGAAGTCTAAAATTAGTTTTAATTTTATTGTAGTTTCTTTACTCTGTGATTTACGATGCATAGTAACTATTGCCTTTTATATGCAGGCCTCATTTTAAGAGAGGCAAAAACTAGACTGCTAATGCTGAGCTCATCTGCATATGGAGCCAAAGGCATTTCGTATTTTACTTCTCAAAGTGTTTATAAGTAGGATTTAAGTCACTATCAACAACAGGAATAAAATATAAATTAATGAACTTTCATTCTAATAGGCTACAGCCCCAAAACCTACCAACTGAACTGTTTTTTATAGTGTTGCACTTAACTTTAATACTAAACTGACAGTTGAAGCCTGCACAGAACTCATTTTATAACAGTATTTCAATAGAAAAAGCAATAAATAAAATGCGGTATCTAAAAACAAAATGCCAGTAGCTTTAGTCTGTATTTCTCCCACCACAGTCCAAGCTGCATCATCCAAAATAGGTCTGGGACAGTTTTTGGATACCAGCTGCATAGTTCTTTCAACATAACGACTACCCATAACAATAAGAGAAGCAATTAAAAGCTTTCTACAGTAATATTATAATAGAATTCCAATAGAAAGATGGTACCCTTGAGTATGTGTCTCAATTAGCTTAAAAGAATTTGCTGCCTTTGCTCAGGATAGCTTCAGAAGTTAGACAGAGCTATTCTGTGACTGCATGTTATCTCTACTGTGGTATTTCACAGGCAAGTTGAGTCTTTTTTAAATATGTTACATTAACCCTGATAATGATGTGGAGACTTCCTGCTCCTAAACCAGGAAGTTGTTTCCTAAAATTTAGTAACTTGTCACTGCAGTGACAAGTTGGTTAAGTCTTTAGCAGAGTCTCTAATCATCTGCTCTACCTTGGGATTTTCAGCTCCACTGGTTGCTAGCTCCTTGTCAATAAGCCCCAGGTTGTGCAAATTGAGGATGGAATCAGCAATAATCCGCGCTGTCCTCTTCTGATAGCCTCCAGACGTCACCATCAGGATTGGGATTCTGCGCCTCCTGGCAGCCTTGAACACGACTTCATCTCTCTTCACAATTCCCTGCAAGTTTACAACAGTTGTTAAAAAAACCCAAAAAAGTAGTGATACGAATATTACAAATATGGTATTTTAGTTCCAGTCTATGGTTTATAGATTCAGAGTATTGGATGCTTGATAAGTGATTAGGCCTTACATTTTACAATACAAATAAAAAATTCATTTAAAAGTCCCATTAGCAGGTTTACAAGCATAATCATTAAAAAAATAAAAAGGAAAACAGCAAATCAAAAATCCTTGACTTGGTTTTAGAGGACACAACAGATAAGTCTTTAGTATAAATTCCTAGAAGAATTCTTTATCAGAGGCCATAAAGTCTAAACTGACTACAAAGTTTAGAAATGTTCACCCTATTTTACAGGCACAGATTTCAGATTAAGAAAGACTGTCTGAATTCAAAGTGCTTTAGTTTGTGCTCAACTTGCATAACACCCTTTGATAAAAGTTTAGCAACTTGATCACGACTTCACAAACCTACAGAGGAACCAAAAATTCAAATCGGATTTTTTATGTTCACAATCACTAGCTGAATTACAAGCTTCCAGTTTGTTTAACAAAAGCTAATACTAAAAGAATCTATGGCTGAAGGGGGAGTTCCAGAATGTAAGTAATGGTAAATCCACAGAAAGGAAAAGAAATTCTAAATAACCTCTTAATCATAGAGAAGGGTATGGAACTAAAAAGTAACAAAAGATTGCTGACCAAGTGGTACTGTACTATCATTAAACGCATACAACAGAAGACTGAGTCTCTTCAGTTTCAAACAAGTACATGTGGGGAAAAAGACAGAATTCAGAAATAACTAAGAACAGAATTAAAATCTACTTTTCTGGAAAAAGTAAAAGCAGAGAGTTCCAGAGACACATAGGAGTAGGAGGCATAAATAATCCATTACAACTCCTCAAAAAAAAAAAAGACTAACAACATAATAGACAACAGCTTACAATGGACAGCTCAAAATTTAAATAACTGCAAAAGCTGGAGAAGGGGAAAGGGATTAAAGTGCAATCAAACACAAAAAATTAAGGAAGCAGCAGTAAAAGTGTTACAACAAAATGAGTATGCACTACTCAGACTGGTTAGAGGAAGACTGTAAATATGTCAAGAAATATTACCCTGCCATTAAAAAAAATTAGACCACAAACAAATGGTAGAGGGAAAGAATAAAATTCAAATGTAGCTGAAAAAAATATTTTTTAAAACCATATAACTGTAATGGTTTTTGTATAGTTTGACATAGCCCTGTAAAAGAACAATGGGAGTAAGGAATAATAACTGAAAAATGAGACAAAGGAAACTGAAGAATTATATTAGGAACAGATCTTTAAAGGAAGTAACAGAATTACAGAATGAGCTGTACATCCCTTGGGAACCATTGCTGGATGTAGCAAACATTATACCACAGAAGAACTGGCAGCAGTCACTATTCATAGGAGCCTAACAGCCTCATCCCTGGCTCCAGCATCTCTAGTGGCTGAGCCTGGAAGAACTGAAGGGAAAACACATGGGCTTATTCCAGCATTCGTGTGTTACCAAGAAAGAAAATACATCAAATGAAAATGACAGCCTGACACAGCTCCGACTTACAAAGATAAGAGGGACTTACCCGCTATACCTCAAGTTTTCTGGCTATAGCCTCAAGCACCAAGAAACTATTACTCATAGCACTCTGACGAGGCATAATTTTGAGTAGAATTAACACTGTAGGAAGATTTTAAAACATGAATGACATCTACCACTGCAGTACTGAAGATTGGACTAGCGAACCTTGAAGAGATGAATTATCCAGGTTCAATGCCTCCAGTTTCGGCATTTCCAGTGGCCTGGGATTTCAAGCTCGGTGAAACATACTATTCACACCTAAGCCAACAAGATTAGAGAGACAAGAAACCCTGCCCTCAATTCAGAAAATGAAGGCTTAGCTACAGAAACCTTTTCTCCAACAGGGACCCGAGCCACTGCTTGTGCAGAGAAACAGCACTCTGCCTTTCATCTCTACTTGTGACCAGAAGAATCATTTCACCTTTCTTTCCCCATCCCCGCATTTTGTCTCTTTCCCTACACAGCACCCAACAAGCTACAGCAACTCATTTTTCTTGGCAATTAAAACTGCTCCTTCTCAAACGGCAGAAAATTTTTTGAAAAGGCACATCTTAAAGTATTCTCCATCTATCACTAGCTTCCCTTTCTCTTGGTGGACACTGCCCTCCAAAAAGCTCTGTTCTATCAAATGAGATCTTACACCTCAGGTCATATCCTCTCCAAGGTTAAAACTAAACGAGTCCAAGCCCCTCAGCTGTTCCTTTCTCCTTAGAGACTTCTACACAGCCATGGAAACAAAATCCGGAGATCCAGAGTGGCTCCCAAGTCTTTCCACCCTGGGTCCACCGAGGACGTGGCGGGCAGTCAGAAAGCAACGAAGCAGCTGCTCAGTGACAGAGACGACAAGAATGAGGAAATACATAAGGAAGCCAATAAAACCCAGCAAGGAGCTAAAGCTCTGTGCAAAAGGAAGCACTTGAGAACTAAAGTACTGCAAAATAGAATGAAAACTGAACAGATCGAGTGATGGCTCAATTAGAAGGAAATCCGAGAGCTCACAAATCAAGAAAGCACTTTTCTATGTTGAACTGGTAGACACTAAAGGAGAACCAAATGTGAAAACAGCAGACACACAGAACTGAGGAGCTGTCAGAGAAGGAATCATTTAAAAAATGGAGGAAATACAAGATCTGTAAATTTTTGTTTATTTTGAGAAAAGCAGACTTGTTATATCTGGAAGGTGAAGACTTCTACGAAGCTATGCAGAATAAATCAAAATTTAGATCTGGTAACAATCTGGGGAGAGAGAAGGTAAACTGAACTGTAAAAGGGTAATGATATTTGTATAGAAAAGAATGAGGAAAGGGGAAAAAAAATCTGTTCATTTGCTAAGAATACACAGACAGGCTGCACAAAATTGCTAGGACTGGAAGATACCAGAAGAGCAATTTAAAACAGCTGGGAGTGCTACAGAGGAAATTAAGTGTAAGATACACACTGGGGGCAGGTGACAAAAGAAATACATTGCAAAAAGGGTTATGTGAGGGTAAAAGAAACAAAGAACAAACAAACCAAACAGGAAAAATAGGAGTCAAGTGAAGTGTGAAAATATATGCCTCTCTGGTTACTGTCTGGTTACTGCTGTTCAAAATCAGTATATTTTAGAAAGACAACAAATGATACCAGCACAGGCACCTGAAGAACAAAAATATTTAGTCAGGAAGACACAACAACAAAAAAAAAAAATGTAGTGAAAAGAGGAACAGAGATGTATCAATACATATCTGTAACAGGAAAATGCTCTGGTTTAGTGTAAAGTATGCACCTTACCTTCATCTAACAAATGGCCACAAGTCACTCTCAGGACTGCCTTCAGTATCTATTGAGGAGTGAAAGACTGTAGCTATTTTAGTATTATACAAACCTGAGGTGAAATAGCTAGTCCTCCCAAAGGATCGCCATCCAGAATATCAGTCCCAGCATTATAAACAATGATGTCAGGTTTTAATTCATTTAATGCTCCTTCCACGTGAGTATGTACCTTCTGAAGATATTCTGTGTCCTCTGTACCCCACTCTAATTCCACTTTGCGTTTTATGGCACCTAAAAAATGTTTTGATGTTACTCAATAACCAAAGCATTGCTTCGACAGAAAACACAAGATTTAGGTAAGCAAGAGAAAGAGATAACATTTCTGGAAATTTTGTAAATATGCTGCATTTTCACAGAACCTTGAATTAAAGAAAGTTATTCAACTACTTGTTTTCCCAGCAAATGTAAGCACAATGACCTTGAAAAAATTCCACTGAAGACAGAAAATTAGATGCGGGGGGTGAGGAAGGAAAATCTGAGACACAAGTGGAAAATATTACTGAAAAGCAGCTGATCTGCATGTCCATTTACCAATCAGCAAAGAAATCATAAAGAAAATTATTAAAAGTAATCTAAATAAAGCATAAGGGAAAGAAAACACCAAATTGCTATTGCAGAGGAAACAGTTGGGGGAAAACACAAGATAAATATCACTGAGAAATTATTAAGATGTTTTATTTTTATCACAACACTCAAAGCTAACAGCAAGGGATCATGAATTTATGTGAACTGCTTTATGAATGTATAACAAGATTCATCTTTGCCCCAAGCATTTTCAATTTAATGTTCTTACCCTGTAATCCTACCAGAAGAGCAAATATCTATTCTTAATTTAAATCAAATTATTTCTAATGCTTCTAATAAAGCATTAGAAGACGAGGGTTGAGAAGGTAGAGGAAAGAAACCCAAGGTTTTGCAACCTAGCTTTGGGTGCTTTTACGGAGTTATGTGAAGTCTAAATCTGAATTCATCAACTCTACGTTAGAGGTGTTTAAAAGGTATGACTTCTACCTCACTATACCCTATGCCTTCAATTAAATGCCTTGGAGTCCTAAATCTGAAGTGTAGAGTCAGCACCCACCAAGTGTGCATGAATGCATTCAACACAGAATGATATTTATTCTTGTGATTGCTGGGTAGGGGTTTTTTCTGCTTTTCATCCTTGTTCAGCATTAGTGAAGCATTCTTTTTCTTTATTTCATTGCATCAACATTACTTTCAAAGAATTTTGTTCCTTTATGATATTTTTCCTGAATTATTTTCTTATTGTTATATAAATGTTCATGTAAGTGTGCACAGCTGTGCTCTTCTAAACAGCACTTAGACCCTCTTCAGGGTAAAGAATCCGCTAGCTGGATAGAGCTTTAGAGGAGGAGGTAAACACATTAGCATGGGGACAAATAAGTATTGTTCTGATGAAACCATTAAGAAGTTGAGACAATCATGAATAAGATTCCATGCCTCTGTAGGTCTCTTGTCTTCATCTCCACCACAAAACACAGAATTACAGATTAGTTATTATCCGGATCAGGGACTACTGAGGGACACGGTGATGCATCTGTAGGTTAGAATGAACACAGCTTTTGCATTTGACACCCTTTCGTCCATCTCTTGCTAACTAGTGAATGTATTTCTACAGCTTTGAAAACTGCAAAATGACACTCAAACAGCAACACTTTTTTAAGGCCTTGAGTTTCAGCTATCAACTTTTTATGCTCACCCTTCAGTGAACTAGTCCTTTTCCCCATCCATCTTCTCCTTTCTCCTCCTAAATGTCTGTGTAATTCCAAACTACTTCCCCTTAGGGACTCAATATGCCTATGGCTAAGCATTAGGCAGTGTTAGCTAGTCTTCCCCCCCGCCCCCCCAAGGAAGTGCATGGGACAAAAAACACGTACAGAGACTCCTGTAATAAAACATGGAGAAAATGAGTAGGAAGTCCAGGGAGAGAGCAATCAGAGTTTACCCTAAGAATTCAAACTCCCAGCTTCAAGCCTCGACCTCTCTTCAAAAAGATGCCCTCCCTGATCTCATCTTCGTCTGGTCACCTAGCAGGAGAGAGTTTAAAGGATTTAGCCACTGAACTCCTATTTAGATACCCTTATACAGACTACAAGCAACTACATATTCACATGTCTTTGGCCACAGCCTTCTGCACCTCACACTTCATCTGTAGAAAGAGAATGCTAGTATTCCCAGCTTCACAGGAGAGAGGTGAATTCAGTTTTTCGGATTTGCTAACAAGGGCTTACTTTGTTTTGGTCTTAATCCATCTGTTCAAAATGTTGCCATTTGAGATATGAATAAAGAAATGCTTTTCTTAGAAAAAATATACCTTCATTTGCTTGCAATTTGTCTGCTTACAGACAGGATGTGCTTTAAATGGTCTTTTTTTAGATTAATACCTTGAAATACATATACTACAATTTTCAAAATCTTTACTAGTTAAAAAACAGAAGTACAATGCACTGCACCTAATTCTTGCCAAGAATCCAAATAAAGTAGGCTTTTCAGAATGACAGCATCACTGAAGAAATTCAACAGCAGAAGAACATCTCCCCCAATAAACTATGATTCAGGTAACAAATTAAGCCTGTAATAAGTGACAGTGTAACGGAATCAAAGATCAAATGAACTTTGGGCTTTCACATTACAATTTAACCATTATCAAAACCCCACTAATTAATTGTGAGAGGTCACCAGACACAATAGGTACATCACAGTAGGGATAAACAAACAACAACAAAAAAATTAAGCACCAGCTCTTAACGTTTGTATGACTTCCTTTTGCTTCCCAACTTGTGTCACATTCAGATGCATCTTGTTTTCTAGATGCTTATAAAACAAGCTCTACTGGAAAGACAACACCTAAATATGTTTTAATTTATAACTTTCAAAAGAACATGAAACCTTTTTACACAGTATTAGCTAATCCTTAGTGAATTCTTCATAAATTTAGTGTAAAGGAAAGATTCAGTTCTAACAGTTATCTTCAAATCAAAAGGATTATTTAACTTGCTGTTCTAACCACGACATGAGCTTTTGAATGGACTGCTAACAAAGTCCAGGTAATACCCACACCTTGCATTCCAGAAATTCATTCCAGAAACAATAGAAAACACTACAGCATTAACACTATTGTGATATATCACAGTGATCATTGAAAATCGTATGGCCAATGTAAAATTTAAAAAAAAAAAAAAAAAATCTAGTTAACATTGTTGCAAGGAAACTTATTAGTAAATGAAGAAGTTATTTAACAACACAGTAGGTCTTTCACATTTTGGAATATGAATTTCAATTATACTTACGTTTAGCAAATCCATCCCCTGGGTAAATATATCTATTGTACACATCCATAATATATACCCGATGATCATCCATAAAGTCCCTCTCATGGCCATTTCCCTGAAGAAAATTTACAGTTAGCTATTCCTAGCATATTAACAGAGAATTAAGTAATCTACAAATGCTAGAGTAATTCAGCCTACAAAGATCTAATTTTTAAAACTCTTCTGTCATTCCGTTATTTATAGTCTTGAAGGTTATTTTGAGGTGTAGAGTTCTGGGGGCTTTGACAGTATCAGTCTGAAGACAGCAGGTTCAAAATCAACATCCTAATATCTCTGTGAAGGTAATTATCATAGATCTCATTGCACATATAAGAAAAATACAACAAAAATTAGAACCCAATTGTCTTCAGCAGCATCACAAAAGCAATCTCTCGTCTTCCAATTGTGCAAAAAAAAGTCACTGTCAACTGCTGCAGAGATACTGATATTCTTATACAAGGATTAATAAACAAAGCTGACTACAGCTCTTCTGACAATTCAAGCCTTGGTGAGATAAGCAATCCCTGGAAAAATTACAAACACTAAACACCCAACAGTTTAACATATTGTTTAACACCCGGAATTTCTTACAAAAAGATTGTATTGGGTGTAAAGATGGATGCTCAGGAAAAAACTCAGATTCTCAGTATTTCCCCTCCCCCCATTTCTGAATTTAAATAGTATTCTTTTGGCTCTCATTTAGACTTTTTTCCACTAGTATAAAATCATCTTTTCACAGCAATTGCCAAGATAATTTTGTTGAAATCAGTATCATACAGGACCCCAGCCCCTACCCCCAACAGACTGTCATTTAAACTACAAAACCAGACATTTCCACAGATTTAACTCTGTAATTCAGTTACATAATTTATGTCCCTGGACAGTTAAGCTATATTTCTGCTACAGCCTCCCTTCCAAGAATCACTGGGCTGAAGCTAAGTCAATCTGTGTGAAAGAGGAGATGGGAAGCACCAGAATTGCATTTCTTTATGCTAAAAAATGGCAACACCTACTTATTTCTTCAACACCTTTGGCCCACAAATAAACAGTTCATGAACAGAAATCTAGGAATATGAGAGCCTCTGGGTAAACCATTTTCTTATGAAAGGTGAAACTCGCCAATGCACCAAGAACTGGAACGCTTACAAGATGAGAGTATAGATGCATACTTAAAAAGGATCTGCTGAGCTACTACTTCACACACCTCTCATTCCCCAAAGAAAGGAAACAAAGGGGTGATTTAGTGTGCACACTGAGATTACCAGCATGATACCTGAAAATCAAAATACATCCCAAGAAGTTCTTAAAAAACAAAACAAAAAAACACCCCAGAAAACCACAAAAAAATGCACACCCTGACAGAGATGGCTGAAGAGAATCATGAACACAAAACATCTTTCTATTGCATAATCTGTGTCTTTATTTCATGGTAATTTTAGGATGCCTTAACTTGCAGATAAGAGAAATGACAGAAGATGGAAAATTTGCAGCCATTAGGCTTCCTCACTGTCATGGAGCTACTTAAAATGGTTTATTTACACATAATAAATTATCTCCAATGCTTCAGATTGGACATAATTTTAGTGCATTAACTGCTTTTCTAAAAGTAGTATTTCCCTCCCTTCAGGATTTATTTTGGAAATCCCACCAAAGATGAGATTTGTTCTCAGTACCCACAGTAAATCACTTTACCAGGTGAAGAATGATGTATTCTTTACTTCATTAGCCTTAAGCCAGGCTTTCCATTAAAACACTGAAGGTCAAATTCATCCCCTGCAAAGGTTGCTGCAATGATCATGCATGCTGAACTAACTGTAATTCTGTTTTAAGAGATTCTTGTTTCTTCTGGGATACTGATCTACTCTGGAGACCGTTATGCCTCAGATCAGTATGTAACTCAAAAATATTTTTCCATCTAGCCACATGATGGAGCTACAACTCAGTTTAATTTTACTGAACTGGCTTAACAGCCTTTTGCACCATAAAATAATTAAACAACTGTTCAGTTTCCATCATCTATGATTAACTTTGTATTCTGCAAGTTGACAGTTTATACTACTATTAGAAAAAAATGGTATTTATCACACACTTGTATTTCAAGCAAAACATCTGCACTAATGAATATAAGTAAGCTACTCACCTGATGAGCATCCAGATCAATAATTGTGGCTTTAGATACCCCTTGTACTCTTTCAAATAAGAACTGGATATATAAACAAAGAAAAAGATGGAGAACATTATTAAGTTAGGTGACAGATTGAACTGGAGGCTTGATGCTTGCACAGGATATCACTGTTCTGATTTGAATGTAGAGTGTGCCTCCATTTCATTCGCCAAATAAATGGCTAAATGATTCTAATATATTTAATTACAAAATCCCTAGTTATTTCACATGAAAAAATAATTTTTGTGGTTATACAATAACAAAACCTATACATTTCCACCAGGTGAAATGCACGAAGCATGCATTTCACAGTCATCTGTGCAGGCATCTGCCTACCTATTGAGAAAGTTGGTGGAGACAGGGAAGAAAGAGATTTCTACTCATCTCCTCTTTCTCCCACGAAGTACCAGACACAACATAAGATCAAGGACATGTCTTTCTACAGCATCCTGCACTAACCTGTAACGTGGACTCTGCAAATAAGGCGTAAGCCCAATGTCACTGAAGCCCAGGGCAATAAACCCTTTTGTAGTAATGCTGGCTCTACACAGACATAGCTGGTACATCTCTGCTCTCGCACCAGCCAGACAGAAAAGGACAGGTCCAGCTAGGGATCATCAAGCTTATCGTGGCATTGGTGCCGTCAGAGGCTGGGGTGGAACCAGCGACAGCACGGAGACACCAACAGCAACAACTATGGGTTGGGACAGGGTGAAGCAAGAGCTGCACGAGCCCCAAAACATCGAGGAGCTAACTTCATGAGACACAAACAATAGCACAAGTGAGGCTTATCAGCAGGAAGGGAGAAACAGTCCACTGTGATGGCATCCAACTGTATAAGCATGAAATCTACCATTTAGGAAAAGCTGCTGTAGGGACTGTATGCATTAAAGCCACTTTTAGTAACAGAATTCATTTCTCATTCCACGTCTGTGAAGAAAAAAAATATTTTTTAATTCTTTGAGTCTTAACTTTGACAAGTTACTATCTTTAATATAGACATGCTAAAACCCAAAGATTTTGTACAAACTGTCACCCACTATAATTTCTCAATCTGTATTTTAATGATAGGGAAAATAGAACACTGTGGATTACTTTCCTGCAAATTACCATGTACAGAAATTAGGATGTTATGTCATAGTGTGCTGCAATCACTAGAGCTTTTTTATGTTTGATTATTACTGATACTTTATAAATATTCTAGTATACAAATATACCATAGTACATTTGATAAAAATAAGCCTAATTGCAGAAGGCTCTTGCTTCAGCCTTTCAATGGCTAAATACCAAATGTATTCATCCACATTCAATGATCATTTTGGAGACACTCACATTTTTATTCATAAATTTGAACCAGTCTGAGCACTGTATAGTGCAGCTTGATTCAGAGAGAGGATTTCTGTCTCCGCATTTGTCTTGATTGTAACCACTAAAACTAATGTGGAATTTTCAGGTTCAACTGCAAGGCTAGGATAATTATCATTAAGGATATTAAAAGTCAATCTGGTTTGATTTTGAATGGTTTTTTTACCAAGATGACATTATTAATGCAATTGTAGTGGTTCATATTTACATTCATAATTCTGACCCCTGCAACTCTTCCCTTCCACTTAACAATACTGCATACGCGTTATGTTCTGCAGCATCAAGTACCACACCATTTTCCCATTCCCACCCATCTACAGATGGCTTTATTTTCTCCTATTAAGATGCAAATTAGTTCTTATGAATTTGTGTGGATTTTTTTCCATTTGCACAAATAGTAGAAAATACTGGTTTAAGAGTACTTCTTACCTTTATAGCCAGTGTGATATCAGCATATGCACAAAATCCTCCACCTTTGTCACTTGAACAGTGATGAAAACCACCACCTAAACATAAAAATGTTGAAGAGGTGAAAAGCTAGATACTAAGGAACATTGATGGTCTTTGCAAAGAGACAGAGATCACTTACACATCAGGCACTTTTTTTTCTTTAGCAAATACCACACCTAGAGCTGTTAAACCCTTACCTAGCAATGCAAAACGTCTCACAGGGCTTCTGTACAGATCTTATGTGTGGCCTACCAGACCATCAGGCAAAGGATGCGCAGAAGCCCAGATTAAGAGGAATTGTCCCCGTCATCTAGCAAGCACCCGAAGAACTGAGAAATGTATATATATGTAACACATGGTGCCTCCACGACAAAGCATACTGCTTTGAAAGTTCAACTCCCCCAGGCTGTTGGAGTTGCATAATTAACATTACAGGGCAGGTTGAAAGTTCTTTTCTATGCTGAACATCGGGTCAAAAAAAATACCAAACCAAGAGCTATGGTGTTATTTGCACATGCCATTGTCTTTTGCAAACACTCAGGCCAGAAGAAACTTTTAAGAACTCCTCTTTAAAACACAAACACACATGCTCTTCACATGAAAAAAAGTACTTAGACCTCCCCAGCCCAAAACTTATTTTTAATATAACAAACCAGAACTTTTTACAGAGACACCCACTACAAATATCTAAGCAAGAAACACAAACAAGCTCACGTTATATATCAGTAAATATGACAGGCTTTTGGGTTTGTTTTTAATGTCTATTTAATTTTTAACATTGGATATTCACTCTGCAAAAGATACGTGTAAGAAATAACAGAAAAGTCCCAGAACTGATGAGCTCTGTGAAAAGGACAAGCTAAGTTTTACATGACACAAAATATTGCTTCAATAGTTTACTGGGTTTGCATTGCTATTTACTATGAGCAGGAGAGCAGATTTATATTCACTATATTCTTCATAATTTTTTCATTCAAGTCTTTTTCAGGAAAAACTGCAGAGCCAGATATAGACACTAACTAGTGCAGCCCTGCTCTCCAGCATACCAACCAATCCCTTGATCTGGTATAATATATAAATTAGCTGCTGCTAAGATCTACAATAATTATTTTATAATTTAATGAAAACAAATATTTTATTGAAATATTTACATTTACTCCAAATTTTTCCTTATTTTTTTTCCACACAACTTCAATCCAAACACTTTTCCTTATATACGATATCATACCTTTATCCAGTTATCTTTTTTTCTTTCCAAAAATATTTTATTTAATAACGGGTGACAGTGGATAAGAAAACAAATCCAGTACTTTTTCCACTTTTTTCCTTTAGAGTTGACCTTTGTTAAACACAATCCAGTCACATTCTGTTATTATAAACAGAATACACATTGTGCTAAATGAAAATGATATGATTTTAAACACTTTATTTCAAGTATCATTTAATGTACTACATTTGTACTTACCCACATTGATTGCCCAGCCTCTATCAACAGCAAGTTTTCCTGCCTTAAGAAAATTACGGTGAGAACTTCATGAATGAACGAGGCAACCATTTAACACTGTCTGCTTCCACCCCAAATGCAACTCTTGGCAGTCGGACATGCCCATTGAATTTTCAGATGTTTTACCACTGCAGGTCATTCTGCATCAGAGCTCTGAATATGAGCCATACAAAACTATCCTTAGCATAATTAGTTGAAAAAATACTTGATATCTCGTCTTTATTTCATTCTCTGGCAGCTGAACAGATCTAAAACTAACTGCACTTTGCAGAGATGAACACCGACCCCTAGCAGACAAATGAGAAAGGGGAAAGTACAAGTGGTGGCAAGAGTAAAAAGTGAGCAAAAATCTCCTAATATCCTTCCTGTTCATGCAAGAATAGGAGGAATGTAAGCTCAAAATCCTGAAAATACAGATTAACATAGTTTCAGCTGTGGGTGGGGACAGAAAAATGCTACAATATAAAGTGTTCTGTGACTTTTAAATTATATGGCATGCATAGTATAGAATATTACCAATCTTTTCCCCTCCACTACAGAAAAACTATGCCTGTATCTCTCCTTTGAACTCAAATGACATTCAGGGAAGGGAAAGTATTGACAGGAAGAGATACAAAAGGCTTAAATCATGAAATTTTAATTGAAAAACCTGACTTATTTTGGCCTGGAAGAGTCAAGCAAGTGTTTAACTGCAGTATTCCTTAAGTGTCATGTTAAAAAACAGAAGATATTACTAGCCAGAACTATAAATAAATGGGGGGGGATAAAACCAGATTATTTTTTTCCATAATCACAGAAAGAACATATTACACATCATATATGAAAGTAAGTTTGAACAGTTGAGAATTCTTCATCACCAATATTTACATTTGAACAGTTCTAATTTAGTATTAAGAAAACTACTGGGAAAGTAAACATCATCCTGTTATGAGTGTGCTAACTTACACAAATTAGATCTTGAGAAAAGATTGTAATTTCTGAACTATAAAACCCATTAAGTCACAGGGAAAGCACATTATCTGTGATTTAGCATACTTCCTAGGGATTCCTCACCAAAAAACAATCTTCCCATATTGCTAGAAAATCATTAAAAAGTACAGAAACTCAGCAGGAATTTTCATAATAAACAGGACCATCAGGAATAGCAGAAGATTGTACTTCTGACTGGTACTGTACAAATTTTATTGTATGACAAATCAAAACTGCTTTTAAAAGTACATACCTATTTCCCCATAATGAAAAATTAAAAAAAAAAAGTAAAAATAACAGCATATGGCATCAAAATCAATCCAAAAGTGACCAGTGATGTCATGTGTATTTCAGGAGGCATGACACAAAGGCGTAATAGACAACTAGTGGCTATCTCTTCCACATGACCACATTCATAACTAGTGAACACACTTTAGGAATTAAAGATAACACAAGCACAATGAAAAACATCACAAAACTATATAAAAGTATTGACTAGTTAGAACCAAGTGGAAAAAGACTTCACATACGCGTACTGTCAAGACCCTTAAGAAGTATCAAAGATAGAAATACCAGGAAACTAGACTTTTGTCAATTATTTTTCTCTTCTACCATTTCCTTCATTCCTCATTAATATTGTACAGAAAAAGACAGTGTGGCTATAATAACAGAAGACTCTGCACATTCCTATTCAGACAGGACTTTGCAGACCAGAAACCCCCATCTCAATAATCACTACTGATTGCAGTCAGAAATATGGCACAGAAGAGAGAACTGACCAGGAGTCTGAAGTGATGCTGATGGACTAAATGGAGACAGAACGGAGCTACTTCTTTGAGCGACAACCAAAAATTTTTAAGCACCTTGAACTATATGAACCACATGAAACCAGAATTCTTTCTCTCTACTACTACCCAGTCTATAACATCAGCTTTAAAAAAAAGTCAAACTACCCCCAAACTTCCCAGCAGTCCATTGAAAGCAAGATGACTACACAAATATCAACAAAACCAGTTTGGTGCCATCTCCAGCCCCTGCTGGTAAATTGCCAGGAGAAAGTGTTCCAGGTGGTTTATGCAGATTTGCATTAGGGAGATGCACTGTGTTCCACTTCCATCATCTCTGCTTTTGCCAGTTAACACCTACTAAAGGAGGTAGCACTTTTTGTTATCTAGCCTATTACCATAATCCAGTAAGTCTAAAGATTTATCCATAACCTAGCATGTTCTTTCCAAACTCTATACTTAAGTTGTCCTTAAAGACTGTTTTAACATTTTCAGTAGTTTATCTGGTTTTCTCATGCTTATGCAGACTTTTAGGCTTCAACAAAAGCACCGGATATTGCTACACTGTACAAATGCTTTCACATATTTCCTTACCTCACTATTCTTTCACCTTAATATCTACATCCAAGAAGACAGAGCAACACAAGAGAATTAAAGTAGAATTAGGAAATGGGATTTAAGAGTTGAGAACAGTAGTTGGAGAAACAGAGTCCAAGATAGGCAAGATACATACAACTTTTATTTTATAAAAGAAAGTCATTTCCCACTCGCAAGCCTGAATTAAAACCAGACTCAGCAACATGCAAGGGTACTTAAACATGGTAAATGTCACAGGACTCACTATATTGTCCTCATGATTTAGGAAGAGACTGCTGGCCATTTTTCTTTAACAGCTCAGAGCAATAAGCAGTAGTTAACTCACTGCACACAGACAATTTCAGCATCAATGAGGTGACATTTTAATCTTTCCCTCCACTATCCCCATGTTCAAAAACTTACTGGAAATATTCCTTTGCTACTTCTCTGCTGTGATTAGAACTCTCACCTTTTCCTCCAGTCATAAACAAGATTCTTCTGAGCACATGCATATGTATGTCAATACATTTTTCAACTACTCTGAGTATTTCACAGTACCATGAAGAGCTACATTCCGTAAACACTACATTCCTCATTATTTATAATAAAATGCACCAGTCTGCAACACAGCTCAAACTTGATGATATACTCAAACTTTTCAAAGAGCTCCAGATTCTTAAATATCTATGACCACTGCTTTGGATATTACAAAGGGAGTTAAGATGACATGCTTACAACAATTATATCGCACCATTAGAAGATGTTTCTGAATCTTAACAGTTGATATTTAAGCCCAGTCACAAGTTGGCCAGTCCACTCTATTCCTTTCTCTACTACCTTTTGGTAGCAAAACCAACAAATGGCAGAGTTACTTTTACATACACACTTGCAAATCCAGCAGCTGGATGGGACACAGATTTAACAACAGAGTGCTAAAACACTGAAAGAAATTGCCTTTTTTTTTTTCCCAATAAAGAATCGAGCACTGAGTAGTTCTATCATTAAAAAAGTAAATCCAACAGAAAAGCAGGATATTTCATCTTGACTTAAAATCTGATAACAACTGGCTCTCTCCTTTCATTTCACATAGTAAAACCCAGGAGGGCTGAAACTTAATAGTGCCCAGATCCACTTATACAAGTGATAGTAGCAACAGTTAATCTCACATCAGCACCACAAAATTAAAGTCTTGGAGAACTGCTTCACCAAACTTTTGGCTCACTCACATTCTCATAGGTCAGACTCAAACAGATTTGACCTTTTTCATTGTTTCTGAAAAACTGTACCGCGGTGCCTTTTATGCAGTAGTCATAGAAGAGCTCTTTACATTATTTATGCCTTTAATGAATTCTTGATACATTCGCAAAGGTAAGCATTTAAAAATAAGAAACCTTGATTCCAGTGCAGATTACTAAGTACCTACATTTCTGTTGACAGAAAGGGGAAGCTACCTATTATTATCCTATTTCTGAGAGTAATGCTATTATTTTATCATTCATTTATGGCTTCACAGTCTTGCTCACCTTTAATATCTAGTAGTTGCAATAAATCATATTCTCATGTCTGGCATAGGCATACTCTGAAAGGTTTGCCAACCCAGAGAATAGTGTTCTTCAATAACTGGCTTCAGAGAGATACAGAAAAAGCAATATGGGCTTCTATCCTTTTCACGTGCACTCACTGTAACAGCTACATTCAGGAAGAGTAGCTAAAATGCAGCAAAGAGCTATTTGTAGCATAATATTAATGATTTCAGATAGGATTATTTGTCTTCCATTTATGTAACTGTTACAGCTCAGTACCTGCAAAGAGACATCAGGACTGTTACCCTCTACTCCCAGCACCATGCTATATAGTTCCTGAACTCTAGCTCTAATATGACAAGGAATGATAAAAAGGGCAGAAGAGGTTCCATTAGTTACCAGTTTACAATTATGAAGGCATCTTTTCCTCAATACATTGTTTAAATAACTAATTCTTGGCTCCAGCTATTAACTGTTTTCTTTCCTCCTACTTCCTCAACATCTCTTATGGCAATTCTCAGGCAAAATTAAATGTCTGGCAACACAGAGCTCTTCTGACCAGAGCATTCATTTAACTAATTAGAGAACAATTCTGTTAAGGTAAAACAGGCTATGTCTCACTTGAGTTCAGCCGAGCTGCTTATGCAGTATTTAAAATAGAAAAAATAGATAGACTAACTTTAATCATTAAAATGAGCCAGGTGATATGATTTTTAAACACTTACCTAGTCTCAAGAGCAACCAAACCATGCTTCTCTTCCCATACAGTACCAAGGTTGTTTGGTAAATCTGTGCTTCAAAAATAGCTTCTATATTATCAATTTTGAAACGTCCCATTCCTAGAATTTGCTTGTATTTGTCAGTTTCTCTATTTGCCCTAAATCCTGCCATATCTATCATTGCTTGCCCAGGCTGCCCCTTACTGTCTTTTCCGCTTCTGCAAATTACAGACCATAAAATCAGGTATGTCCTTCACCTTGGTAGCTGTTAACAAGTGGCAAACTTTGCTCATGTTTAGGACTGTACACTAACTCACTTCCTTCTACAGGCCTCCACAGCTAAGCCTTTGAGTTATACAAAATATTACAACTCACAGGTTTATAGTGTTTTGATCAACAGGTTTAAAAACAATAAAGTGAATCAAGAGCACCTTACCATTATTGTTCCTCCTGTCTGGGTTCGTAGAGGCTTCAACACTTTTCTCTGAACAACGAAATTGGGAAGAAAGGCAACTGGTGGAATTTCTGTGATTGTAGCCACAACAAATGACCACTGCAAGGGGGAAAAAAGTTCCAATTAAATGCAGCCTGTCTTAATGATGACACTTAGATCTCTGATCAGTTGCTATTTACTGAAACGGAGCTCACAGGTCCTTAGCAATATTTTTAATATTTTTAGATAGAGGTGACCACAACAGTATTTACCAGTAACCTCCAAGTAGGTTTGTCCTCGAGTTGTTAACTATGAGAATCATCACTTTCAATCATCATCACTAGGTTTTTCAGATTTTAGTATCAAATGGTAATAAATCAATTTCTCAGCAAGCTGGTATTACAGAAAATCTAATAGGCCAGGGATTGGGAGGAAGAATTGTAAAATGTCCTTCAGCAGTATTAATAGCAAGCTACGCTTGATATATTGTTCAAACCGAAAATATTTTTTCCTGTGTCAAGTCAAAAGGATATACCAAGGAGGAAGGAAAAACAAACAGACAACTCGACTGAGAAGTTCAAATACTTAAGTGAACACACAGTGCAAATTTTAGCATGGAGAACCAATTAAAATTTATTTAGCATATTAAACACTTCTGGAAAATGTTTCAAGGAAATGTTTTGTTAAAAAGTCATATCATCAAGAATACGATTTGAAGGTTAGAACACAAAATATTTGCAATATGTAAATGCTTTTTTTGCAAACACATATAGATTACTTCAAAGAAATTCTACTAACATTGCTACCAGCGATAACACTTCTAAATATATTTCAAAGCGTAAGTCACAAGCAAGAATCTACCTCTTCATCCAATCTGAAATACTCAGGAACAGAGAATTATGAATTTGACACCCTGTACAAGGATTCTGAATAGAACCTATTTTCCTCAACACTAGGAAATTTAACTAGGTTCGGTACATTCATTGCCCAATTGCTGTTAGCTGTCTGTTTACAAATGATAGGATGTATACAAGTGGTCAATTTTAAGCAAAGACAATCACATGCCAATTTCAGGGTACTCTGATACTCAGAAAAACTTAAGCTACTTTGGCTTCTCAGTTATCAATATTTCAGCTACAAACTACTATTGGGTGGGGTGGCATTATTCATAAAGTTCTTAAGTACTAACTATATTTTGTCAACAATTCATTTTAAGCTCTTACTACTTTTGTTTGTAAGACAGTATTCTGTTACCATACTATCAGGTCTCCATCATTAACAAAGTGCTTTGATTATTTTGTAATACAGTCAATCTTGATATAGTCCTTTTGCAAGATATTTTAGCTTTTAAACAAGTATAATGTAAAAAAAACTAGATTCAATCCTCTTGTTCTAATATAGAATTGAAAAGGTCACATTTGCATAAAATAAATTTTGATCTCAGATGTGAACAATGATAACGAAATTGCAGAAAGTTTTAACACAGTTTAAAAAAAATTTTAATCTCAACAGGAAGAAGTGGGAGCAATAAAGACTCAAATCAACATGTATGCTGCTGCAGGTTTTTAAGTGAATGCAAGAAATCCGTACATGGTATGAGTAAAGGGTAAGCAAAGCTTTCTATTTGCAGCTGAAGACATTTACAGAACAGTGCCAAGCCCAAAGACATTCACTGCTCCAGACTTAGTCCTTTACTGTGTTTATGTAATACCTAACATACCAGGGAGAAGTCATTTGACTGTGAGGAAAGTCTTGGGGTTCAAAAATGCAGCTATAGACTAATGAAAATGCTTCTCAAAAAACACCACAATAGTAATTGAGAAATATATTGCCTGAAACTGTGGACAGTTTTGCACTTCTTTTCTTCAATGTGCTAATTTTGTTTTCCAACATTTCCTGCAATAAATTCTCTGAGCAGCTATGTATATACTTGAAAAAGAAATCAAAAGGAATTGGTTTTATATAATTGTATACTTTTTGTTGCTGTAAAAATAAAAAATTATTTTGAATGAGGACAACATTAATTACGTTTTCCAGGCTGTCAGTTGGCTTCCATAACACAACTCTTTACACATATTAGTTTCCTTTCATATAGAACAAACCCTTCAATTTTTTTTTTTTAATCACTATTTTTTGCATTCAAATTGCATATATCAGAATAATATCAGTTACTATTTCTTTTGGTAGATACTTGCTCTCACTCAGCCATCATCAAGATACTGATTCTCTAATAAAGTTTTGTAGCCATCTAATTATATAACTTAACAGAAATTAAAACTTGGCCTGGATTCAGGGAAGAGTAATAATCATATATAAACACTATTCAATAACATGCCTTCACTTATTCTTTTTAGTTATCAACTCCATTTAACTCTTTCTTTCTTTCTGTTGCCAATATCATAAGATCTTTTAAATTATTTACCTTCCTGTATTTTGGATAAATAATGCAATGTATGAATTTAAGTTTCAATTTTTTCTTAAAAGGAATAAAGATGTCCGGTTAACCCTTAACCAGGTATATTTTCCTTTAATACATGCCTCCTACCAAATTAACTACTACGCAATATCATTAAATGTGGCTAAGTGTAACACTATACCAAGATGCTACATTCAAAAAAAACCCGAAACCAAAATGAAACAAACAAACAGAAAAACCCACACAACTTCAAGAGTTCTTTATTTTCCTTGCTTAAGTCCAAACTCCATAATAACATATACATAATGAGGATATTCTTGCAGGACTTTACTTATAAAGTATTATTACTATTAACTTTAATTCCTTCACTATAAAAACTCTTAGTAAGTTTAAATGACTTCACAAATTATTTCAGATTATTAGGGTTCAAGGACTAAAAGTTAAACTGAAAAACTAATATTACGAACATAAAACTAAAGTAGCTGCTTTTATGCTGACACATCCTGGATTAATACAAACAGCACATTAATGATCAAAACCAACCTCTGATGAACTGCCTTTTAAGTTACACATTCATAGTATTCCAGCATTTTAAAATACCCAACAACACGTTAAATTTAAAAAAAATATGCAATCTTGTTCTTTACTACCTAAATTTAAACCGTGCTTAAAGCTTTGCTAAGTTCCTGGAGCTAGTCGCAGCTTCAAGGGAAAATCCATGGATTTACAAATCCAACACCAAGCAACTAACCTGATTTTATATTTAGAAGCTTGCCTGGGACAAAGCTATTTGGGTCCATTATTTCCTAATAAAGAAAGTATGTTTTTAGCTTGAATTAACTTAAAATAAAATCATAAAGGAGAGTAGGAAGTTTGCAATTTTCACAAAAGTTTCCAAGTCAAGGTATGAAGGCACTATTATCATTAGGAATAAGATACTGCACTGGTAGAAACAAATGATAGCCAGGTGACACACCCAAGAAAACAAACCAACCAAGAAATAATACTGGTGCATCAGTCTCCCAACCAATGAGTTGGAAATATTAAAAGTAAAGAAGCAAATCACTGTTAACCAAATGCCACCTTATCCTTAAGAGGTTTACTAGTTGCTTCAGCTGCAAAGAGTGCCCTACAGCATTTGCACAGCAGTGTAAATACTGAAACCTGTCAGACCTTGTTCCCTATGACTAAGTATTCTTGTTAGCGTTTTCTCCAAACATACTCAAATATCATTACCTTTAAAATAACATTTTTGTATATTCCTACAGACCTCTGCCTGACACATTAACATCTGCATGACTATTTCGGTAAAAGGTATCAAATTCATTTACCTGCTCTCATGACCTTTTAAATTAACATTTTACAGCAAACTACCACTCGCCTTCATATATTTTTCACCAATGAAGTTCAGAAAAATTGAGCAAGGAAAAAGCACAATGTAGGGAGCAAACAGAGACAACAGATGACAGTACAAGAACTGCATGAACTGAGGAACTGGACAGGGGAATTTCAAGGACTTCTGAAGGTGCCCGTTTTATCCAAACCAAACCCATATGTTTTCAGGTGCCAAGTCACCTGTGGTCACTTACGGAATGCACACAGCCCAAGATGCCTTCTGTGCTGGTTTATCTAAACACCTAAACCAGCCAGAAGTATCACAGGCTGAACCGATTATTTTATGAGCCTGCTTCTACTGCCTTTATTCCCGAGAGCCCTACCACCTTGCCCAGGCACACTGCCAATAGCACCATACAGCAAAGAGGCAGGTACCTCTGGTCTCTTGGCAGATGCACTCACATGACCAGGCAAGAGTCAAAGTACACAAGCACTTGAACACCAGACAACACTCCCTATAATCACATCAATCCACTTTTTCCTAGGCATAAAAATTTACATTTCTAATAAAGTGCTTAACTTTTTATTTTTAACCTACACAATTTGCAAATACATAAAAGAGATTAAAATTTCTGAGTTCAATTGATCACCTGTTTTGGATCACTTTCAGAAAAGCACATCTTGCATTCCAATGGTCTGAAACTAGCTTTAACCTCATTGCCTATCTCCTTCCAAAATTTCAGAAAGCTGATATGCAGGAAAATAATTATTTTATGTAACACTAGAAAAAAGCAGTAAGTGGAAAAGTACTGCAAGCAAATTATCTGAAGTCCAGTCATTACCTTAGAGATCTAAATTCTTCAAAGGAATAACTGAGGGGGAATCACCTGAATTCAAAAGGCGGCCAAATTTTGTTGTAAGGACTAGTCATGTTACCTAAAACAGGGAAACAGGGAGACTCTTCCTTCCAACACAGAACTAATTGCCAGTACTGCTTGATCTACTTCATGCACACCATCTGTTTCCCTTCGACCAACCCCCAGCCAGCTTCTTCAGCTGCTGCTAAGATACCAAACACCACCTCTTCTTGCAAGTGTATGGAATTTCCTACCAAATTCATGCTCAAATTTTAAATGAATACTCAAGTGATCTAATTATTTTAAGAGACCTAGGCATTCCCAGAAATGCAAGCACCTTTGTACTCTTTAGAGCTGATCTAACACAAAACTATACCATTTTTTGGTGGATCTGTATTTGTCTGGATTAAAAAAAAAAATATATAAAAAATAGCACAATAGACTTTGGATAACGCAATACAGAGGATACCCAGGGCCTTTTCATGTCTCACCATATTATTTTTTGTTTGCAACTAAGCACTTTTATCTTCACTGCTTGGTGGGAGTTTGCTGGCATGACTAATACAACATCTTCCAGTTTCTACAGTTGCAGGAAATATTCTCTCAAGAAAAGGGGAAATGAGAGATACACAGTTAATCACATCTGAATGCACATGACAGTACTGGTTTTGAACACCAAGACACAAGTTATACAGACAATTCCCTGTGTAGCCATCCTGTAGGTACTAAAAATATTATTATGGTATTCCAAACTGAGCTATGCACATTACACCCTGCTTCAAAGAAGTGATTCAGTAAAAAGAGGTGGGTGGTTCTATGGAATTAAAAGCTCAATATCAAGAATAGCTGCAGTGAGATCAAATCTAATGATGTATGAAATTGCATGTAACTTTATAGCACAGAATGAAGAAATGTAAGAGAACTCAGAAAAGGAGTAAGAGTGAAAAAAGTTCACACAAATAATAGATCCCTTACACAGAAAAATAAAACATTCCAGAAATAGCAATACAAGGACTCTCACTGTGGAAGGGCAAAGATGACTCAAAATAACTTCTTTTGAATTATGAAATGGAAGAGGATTTCTCATACAAATCCCTTCTCTGCCCTCCAAGTAAAGAGTTGCAAAACAAAAGCTATGTCACCTGTGCTCACCTACTATCCAATGCCACCTACAGATGACTGAATATATTCAGAAACAGAGATCTCATGTTTATGTTTTAAAGTTAAATTGAAGTATAACAAATGGATGTTTCATTTAGAAATACCCAGTGAATGCTCTTTACACCCTGTGAATATGTAATCCTGTATGAGCTGGTAGTGGAAACCTTCACACACAGATAACATGCAAGGTTATGCCCCTACATTGATCTTTAAACTCTCTCCATATTCCACCGATACAGGCAGTGTCTAAGTATGAAGCCAGTACTTCCCACCACAACGGACTGACAACAGAATCCCTACGTGGATGCTCTTTTGAGATTACATAAACCCCAAACCCATAAAGCAATCCTTGCAAAAAACACATCCAATAAAGTACTCCATTTTAGTGCTCTCCAATGTATTTTCGATTTCAGAACCATATTTTACTAGAGTAAATCAAAACTTACACTTTTGAAGACTAAAACCCTGGTACTAAGGAGAATATTATTTACATCTCAAACATTAAAATTTTCCTTATGTTCATTTAACTTTACTGAAATATCATTTCAGGTCACCCATATAACATCGTAGACCCTCTTTCCCCTCCACCCCTCTTTAGTGCAAATTGCCTACTATTTCTATGTTTTTCTTTCAGTATTCTCAATGACAATCTTATCAAAATACACCATTCTACAATCTGTAAAAGTTCATTCTGTAACAAATAGAGTAGGATATCTGTTGCCTTTGACACTAATTCTAGACAGTTTGCTTGAAAAACACATTAATAAGTACAGCACCTTTAATTTATTAAGGTAGCGCCTTGTGTGAACAACCAAGAGATCTTCATCAGTAGCTTCCCGTGCCTGTACAATCAAGTCATCTGCAATTAGTTTTTCTTCTGAAACAGGAGAGAAATAACAATTGGCATTGTATACCATCACTTAACTTCCCATATTCCACCCTGCCAAAGAAGCTACTTTGACCATGATGCAATAACTTCATCTGTTATGTAAATCACTGAAACAACTTTTGTTTACTCAGTGTTTACAAATTATCCGAATACAAACCCGCTACACATGTAAGCTATTAAGGGAGCGTGTATATGATAAATATTGTTTACAGACAGTTTTCAGAGTGGAATCAGGGTAACTTCTTGTTTAAACTGAAAGAGAGGACAGGTAGTGACAGAGGATGGACATGCACAAAAGAATTACAGGACTCCTTACAGTCTAGGGCTTGATACACTGGGGAAATCCTGGTGCTCATACCATCAAATATTCACTATTCCTTAACATGCTTTAAGAAACTCTACAGTTGATACTAGTATTTAATTCCCTAAATCAGAGGAGAATAAAAAAAATTAATCAAAATTCAAAACAAAATAATTGCTTGGATGTTCACAGAAGCAAACTTACACTTCATTAGGATATTTCTGTCACACCCCTACCTCCATTTAATTTCAAGAAATACCAATGACCAGCTATTAATTCTCCCTCTTAGAGACCAAAAGATAGTTTATTTAAAAACCTAGTTTTATAAGAGCAAGTTACAAACATCAGTCCAAGATTTCAGAATGTGATCAAAGATAATATGTTCGAATGCATACATCTGGATATACTTGCCAGAAAGTTCAAGTTAGGGTCAACTAAAAAAGCCACACAGTGCAGAAAAACAACATTGCTTTGCACATGATCACTACAAACACCAAATATAAGGCATCATGCTGATCTTCCCAGACAAATTTTGATATTTAATTGCTGCACAGCTGCAGCCTTCTAAGACTGTACCTTTTATCCAATTTTACTCTTGGAGGAGGAAGAAAACAACTCTCACATGTGAGAGATTTTGTTCTGAAGTGTTATACAAGAACAGCACCTGCAACAATATTTGTTTTGGCAAGCTTACGTTTCTCCTGACTGAGGCTTGAGAAACATTTCATTCATTCATTGGTGTCAGACAGAAAGCCAAGCTACTAACAGTTTCATTCTTGAGGAAGGAGAAGGTAAGCGTAAAAAGATTTTCACTGGTGATTTTCTAGAACGTGATAGGGAAAAGCGTAGGTCAGCTGTTGCCAGGAGTTGCTACAGAGCCAGAGAAAACCAAGAGCACCCTGGGGTATCCTGTGGCTTCTTTCTCCTTTACAAAGCAAGGGGAGTAAAGTGATTGGGAAAACTAATTTTCTGTGAAAGACTGAGAATAAAGAGTGGGCGCTTAACACAGAAAAGAGCTAGAGGAAAAGACTTTACACAGAGAAGGAGCAGAAAGGCAAAGCTTTTGATTAATTAAGAAAATAGTCATGGAACCCAAGACTTAATTGTTTAAGGTTATTAGAGGGAAGATCCAAAACTCAGGTACTAAATGGAGTGTTAGAATTCATTTAACCAAGGTTAAATGAATACAAGGCAGCCTAAAATTGGAAGGGCAATACTTAACTGCAAAAAATATCAGCTGAAGGAGTCATTAGGAGCACATAAATGGAAGAGGCCTGGCTCTCAGACAACCTTTGTCTTGGCAAGAGAAGAAGTTTGGGTTTGGGGTTTTTTTTTTTTGACTTGATGAGCAAGCTTAAACTTTTAGATGAAGAGATGCCAAGATTTTATAGGCCCTGATCCTAACCTTGGTTCTTACATTTTTATTTCCTTAATGTATTTCTGCCTGTATCTTCCAATTTGTTTAAACAGCTATAATGAGCACCGTCACAAAAAGTTCTGCCTGTCACCAGAGGCGTCTCACAGCTCTTCCGAAACATTATCAGAGTATCATGAGGTTGATAAAGAATGGATTTATACAAGATGCACTTATCTTTCAGCCTGAAAAGGGCCATTTGCCAGTAGACTGTCTGCAGTTGAAGTTGAATAACTAAGTTACACCCCACAGCAAGCCAGTCATTAACACCTGTAGTTTCACAAGCCAAAAGGAATGCCCCAGTTCCTGCTACATCAGGTGTAAAGCAATGGAACATTCAAATCACAAAGACCAGAAATACTTTAACATGGTCTAAGACATTGCTATGCTCATATTTCTCCTTCCTCCTTTTTAGCCACAGTCTTGTAAAGCTCTGGGCCAGACTGAAATGAACCAAACTAGTTACTCTGATTAGTATTAGTCATTCCTCTGGGGAGAGCAAATCATTTAATGAGCTTGAATTTTCAATCACATTTCATGAGTTTCACTCTACACAGACACAACGGAGCTGAAACCAAAACTGTGGGTTTATTTAGTGGAGCAGGCTAGAAAATACATTTTCAATGGACTGTGAAAAAAACCTTTGTATTAAAAAACCCTGGTGTAGGATGTTTGCTCTAACATTACAATGTCATCTTTTAAGTACCGCATAGAAAGATCTTCAACAATGCGTAACACGTGACATCCAACCCACCTCAGAAACCCTACGATCAATTTAACTTGCTAAGATTTAAGTCTGCAAATATATCAGAAAACTAAAGCACTCCAAATATGATTAAAGAGCGTAGCTTAAATCTACACAATGAGCAATGAAGATGCACAGTCACTATTATATTAGCAATTATTAACATAGGTCTGCACTAACTACATGATTTCTATTAGCTTTTGTGCAAATGTTGGTCTAAGAGGTACCTTCTGTTATTTTACCTTTCAAGAAATTGATTACTTTTCCCCATTTCCCTGCATCGAATGGATGCAGTTTCTCAAGTCCCATGAACGTGATGTTGTAGTCTGGAGAATATACGATAGGGCAGCATGGTGATGGAGGATCCTCATACAACTCGGTTCTGTGAGGCCTTGAAAAGCAAAAAACAAATTAGTCACCATTTTTAGCAACTATTTACGAAGTTGACCATTTTTCACTAAAATCCCAAATTACCAATTAGAGTCCTCATTAATACCAACTTTACATTAGGAAGGACTCCTGAAGATGCTATTTCCAACGGTTACTGAAGGAAACACTCGGCTGTTTAACTGCTCTTCAGCAGTAAGGTCAGGGATAGTAACATCCCTCGCTTCCAACCAGTACAGTTATACTCCTGAACTAACCAGCAGTGGGGGAAAAAAAAAAAAAAAACACCAAAAATGAAGACTGAAGAATGTACATTAACGAATTATGCATATGAAGTTCATCGCAGACAATAATTAATGGAAACATTTGCTTCTCTCCACTTGTCTTTCCAAGTTCATGAAGGGGCATCTCTACCTTAGAAGGCGCATCCAGTTTTCCAGACAACATAACCTTCAACAAATACATTACTAGACTTACCTTTTAAAGCCTGTATCAAAACACCATTAAAAAAAACAAACCACACTGCTCCTACACATGATACTTCTAACAAGGCAAGGCTGGAAAGATTTCTAGGGTCCTTTCCTAGGAGCAACAGGTTATTTTGTGACCAGCTCAGCAACAGTAAAGAGGCCTGGGTTTGTATCTGCACAGCATACAACCACAGGACATGCTCTCAACTCTAGATCTCATGCCTGTAACCCTTAACCAATACTTTCCTTTACCCTCCCTCCAAATTCTTGTACTCTCCAAATACAAGGAGAGGCGGCACAGCCAGCCCAGAGCCCTGGCTCACAGAGCAGGTGAGCAATGCCGTGCTCTGCATTTACAAACGCGGACGCCGATCACTCGGCGGACACCTGCGCACACACGGGTCAGCAGACGGGCCGAACCCCAGAGGCGATTCCCTGCTCACGCTCAGCCTGCTCCGCCAGCCGTGGCCTCCCTTCTCTGCCCCAAACCCCGTGTTGCCGAGTTACGCCGAGACCCATCTTGCTCCCCCAAATTTAGCAGAAGCCTGCAAAAAGGCTTCACAGCTTACCGAGCGAGACAGAAGGGTCTTTTGTCAGGGGAACAATACAAACAGAACCCCCCTTATTTCCAGCCTAGATATGCCCCCAAATACCCTTTTAAGCCCCAGCGAAAAACAAAACAGAGCAAGAAACCAAACACGAAGACAAAGGCCGCTTTTCAGCGGAGCCCGCAGCCCCGCTCCACGCACAGCGCCCACGAGCAGCGCCAGGGCCCGCTCCCTCCATCCTCCCCTCGTCCCGCCCCACAGAAGGCAGCTTTAACCGAAGGC